GATTCGAAAATACCGAACTCCGTATCCGCGGTAGAACACAAGGCTGGGGAACCTCCGTGTAATGTTGCACATTCAATCATGAATTAATGGAAATACAACGGCACACTTCAAATTAAGAGTAACCCGATCTAGACAAAACAATCGGTTCGACACGACAATGCAAATCTGCAAGAAAAGAACACTTGGAAATCAGAGAAAGAATGTGATGTGGGTATAGCGACAGTGCTATTTAAAGGGTGATGAGGACCAATCACAGAGGGATGGGATAGCGAAGTGACACCATAATCGGGGGGAGGGGGCGACAGACAGTAACCGTAATCACGATGTAATTGAGAGAATAGAGAACGAACACGAGAAGGGTGTCTGGGACGGTCAAACACACAAGGCGGGTGGTAGCACATGGGTCAAGAAATAACTGAATTACGAGAAAGAATGAACAGTGAAGACGGTAGGATAATCACAGCGGGTGGGTGATGAGCATGTGACCACAATAACACGGGGCAGTTTCTATGCCGGGTCGCTATAATTGATACCGATAATGGATTGAGCGCAGAACGATTGATGACAATTACTACGACAGTTTCCATTTCGGGTGGATATAATAGACTACGAAAACAGGCTGGAAGAAGAACGGGTCACGTCAATTAACACGGAAGTTGCTATGTGGCGCGGTTAGGGGGGATGCGGAAAAGTGCAAACTAAATGGCCATGGAGGGAGGAGTTCTGATCTAGCGGGTAAAGGTCGCCAAACTGGGAGGTGGTTAGGGCCTCACATGAATTGCTGGGTTTTGAACAGAGGGTAGTTTCGGTGTACGTAATTTCAATCATACAATAAAGCATCTCAAGAACCCTTTGACTAAGACTGGTAAAAGTGTGCGCCAAAATTCTAACTGTGCACTAATCTTCGGTTCGTGATTCGACGTCCTTTTGCTTGTGTAATCACGGTCGACAATCAGCCCACTTGAGACTTCCGATGCACCAGTCCCAAGAGGTAAATGACGTTGTTGATTGGGCTGCAGGTTTCAAACCTCCAGTCAAAAAACGGACATCCCGCATGTTGAGAGCACATGATCACACCGGTTGTGAGTTACATAGGTAAGCTAGAAAAAAGAAGTCTTCCAAGCGTCGAATGGCTTCATCAAGATGCTGTACTCTAAAGGATATGCTTCACTTGCCCTCTCACTCACGCACACACACACGTTCATTTTCATTGTTAAATCTGCGATAATATATTAAGGTCTGTTTCTTCCCTTTGGATTAAACCCCGTATTATCACCAGTTTTGATCGGTATCAGACAATGTATACCAAGTTCTTTTCGTTCTACTCACTTGGGTTAGTAAAGATTCAATTTAGGTCTTCAAATTTTTATTACAATATGAAGTATGAATTCCATACTTCCTTTCGATTACAGTCAAGGCGAGTAAATGTGTGCGAGTGAGAAAGAGAGAGAGAAAGCGAAACCCTTCACTTCGAGCGAACGTTCGGGTAATTTTTTCCACCCGGTGAAATTAAAATTCCAGTGGAATCGATTTGTCTATTCACTAGGACATTTGGAATCTTTCACGTAACCAATTTCTCCNTCCCACCCAAACCCCCTTACCCCGACCGTTCTGCTCTCAAACAGTGGATTTCTATTCCATTCGCAATGACCAATAAGGCCACAGTACCGATCACCACAACCTGGGATAAATGGAAAGGAACAGTGAAGCCGGAAGATGCATTCTATTATGCAGACAATTTCTTCATGCTCACATTCGGTGGGATCCCGTGGCAAGTCTACTTCCAGGTTCGTTATGCCTATCTACATGACGGTGTCATAGTCACCTAATAGACGTTTTATTTGAGACATCCATTGGTCGAAACACATGGATACATACTGAGTGGTATTAACAGTCATCATCAGCATAACCATCACCATCATCATCATTATCACTATTATCATTATCACCATCATCATCGTCATCATCATACGGTAGATGGATCTAGGCAAAAACATTGACCCTATTTGCATGAAGCGATATTTTTGACTTAAATCCGCAGAGCGAGTATTTGTTCGTCGATAGCTTTGTGCTGTTTTTGAGTCCCCACGAAGGGGTTACAGCAATACAATGCATTCAGGAATTTCGGAACTCTAAATGATGAAATTTTGGAAGACCAAAGATCAGAGATTAAATATTTATTACAGGAATAACTTACAATCTCATACTTTTCTCGTCCCATAGTTTTGTGTTGTGGTTAAAATACAATGATACATACAATTCCTTGGGTTAAATGTCACATGAGACTGGTTTCTTCCACTAATGCAGGCAGTTTCACTTATTTTGGAATGTAAGGTGTGCTAATGCTTCATCGATTCTCCGTTTGAAAGATCCAATGCTTGGTGCACAGATAACGTGGGGTGGGAGAGAGTTCCAATCGAACACACTGACTGCGAATGACGGACACCGGCATCCCAATCGGCAGTTTGAGACCACTAGTTTGAACGTATGTCCTCTAAGATGAACGGTGGGTGATGATTTTAGCAGCGTGCGACTTGGATGGCTTCGGTTTTGCATTATTTGGTATACCATGATCTCCTCCGATGCACCGGTAGTGCTTGGAATATAACCCCAGCCACTTCAATCTCTCTGAGTATGAATAACGATTTAACCACCTAACCATTTCGGTGGCCATCTTTTGTTTTGCTCCAGCATTTTGCACTCACGTTGTAACCATGGATTTCATACCTGGAAGGCGTACTCTGTGAGTGGGCGAATGTATGCTGATAGTAGACGGAGGAAAGCGTTGACTCAAACCGGGAAAAAAATACGCCTAAGCAAACCGACATTGTTTACAGCCGCATTCAACAACTTGGCGCAGTTGAGTGAACAGCTCAGGTTTTCTTGAATGATGATGTTCTGGTCCTTCTCACTTAAGGCGTTGGGCAGTTGTTCATTTCCGAGAGAATAAGAACATCCCCCTTGTTTTGTTCAGATAGAACTTTACACTTTGGCACATTGAATTCAATATCGTTCAACAGAGACCAGAAATGAGGTGCCTTTCCTGGAGTGCCAACGAGCCCACTGGTTGCGTTGTTGTACTCCAAGTTTTGGCGTCATCTGCAAGCNAAGCCGTAATGATTTTGGCCCCAGAGCGTTCGGTAGGTCGTTTATGATTGTTCGCAAAAGTCTTGGGCCAAGCACAGATCCTTGTGGAACCCCATAGGACCGGAAAGCGAATAGGAAACACGAACCGACACGGTCCAATGTCGATCCAACCGAGCATGAGGCCCCGAATACCGCGATTATGGAATTTCCGCAGTAGAATGTCGTGGTTCACCCGATCGAACGCTTTTGGGAAGTTAAAATAAATAACGTCTACCGCATGGCCTCCATCAACCGCTTTCGTCCATTCCTCTCGTGCGATGAGCAAATTGGTAAAGCAGGACAGAAATCAAACTTTCAGGTCTTCCACTAAGGATACGATAAGTAAATGGTTGATATTTAAAAAAGATCCAATAGTTTATCTAGTCACTATAACTCAGCTCTTTTATGAGTATCTATTTGTATCAGTATTAATCTTCCCAATCAATGCATTGGTGTCATTATCTATGCTTCGGCGAAAACACAAGCAGCGATAAGATGTCGTAGAAATGGCCAAAGGAGCCCAGTTTACAAAAGCGATCAGTAATGAACTATGTTCCTGGTTCTGGAACAACACACGAAATAGACCGTTAACTAAAACAGTTCATTTGTAATCGAGAGCCCGCGGGGTGGGTTTGACATCCATAAACACGTGTACATGCACTTACAAATTTATCAATACATTAGCAGGTGAGATCATGTAAAATTGAGGGATTGATCATTCTCAACAAGGAAAACTGGCTGTCAGATGTAGATTGGTTTAATTGTCGTCGTGCAGCTCAAGGGACTGATTGAATGAAGCCATGCGTGGTCTTTTTGAAACACGTTGACTGAAATACAAGGCTGTACTCAGCCAAAAACGGATACAATAGAAAGGTTGACGGGCATACGGTGCTAGTTAGGCAACAATTCAAATTATTTTGTTCGTTAATAGGTTTCAATTGTGAAAATTTCCGTAGACTCGGAGGGAGTCGAACCCACGCATGCTACTTGGTGAATGTAATATGCCTCTCTCTGTAGGTTCGATGAGTATTCGAAATGCGAAAAGATCGAAGCGGTTGGTGTGGCCTTGTGGTTTAGCTGGTAGAGTGTATGCTGTAATCAAAGCGTAGGTGGCGTCGCTGCTTGGTTTCAAATTCCACTGAGGCTACTGATCTTTCAAAATTCAAACATAAATAGTGTTTGGCTCTTTCCAGCTGGTTATCTTACATCTCCCTTAGACAATTTAATTCATCTCCCAATCAAATTGAATGCATCAATCATGGTTTTCAAATAATATCAAACTGCTACCTTGTCTGCTGTTGTTGCAGACGACCTCGATAGAAGACTTGATATGTAGGTATGCGTTAGTATTTTGTAAAACCAGATTAACGGTGCACTACACTGCCGAGTTTTCTATGGCCACCAGGTTCTGGTTATCCTTGATTGTTTCAAATAATCGCATAGACATTCGCACCCATTACCTTGCTGAATGTCTTCGTTTCTTTATTTATTTATTTTTGTACACCCATATATAGCGTGTTCTGTCCTCAAAAACAGCTGCCCAGGCACAAATCCTCAGTTACGTGGCCGCTTTGGGATGCTTAATGATGGCACTACCCTCAGTCCTGATAGGAGCGGTTGGGGCGAGTACTAGTAAGTGTGGTTCATTTTCTGTTCGTTTCTATAACATTCTTCATGTGCTTGGCTGTTTCATCAATGGCCAGGTGCACGATATCTGGCAAACTATGCGCATGTTCTCATTAAGTCACCTACCAACCATAACATATCACGTCATGATAAACAGCTAAATAATAGAATTGACGAGATGTCACGGTGCTTGTCAACGAGAAGACGATAGTGGGATGAATTGCGTTCGCAACAACAGAATATGACAGCCCGATCATGAGGTTTAGTTAGGATCTGTGACCGAATGCAAAACGTGGGCTCACCTCTTGTATATATATATATAAAGCGAGGAGAATACTGATCGCGTCCGCTGTTCATATGATGTTGAAACGATGAGGCGGTGCCCCATAAATATATATAGATCAAGACAGATTCACTCCTTACCTGTTGACGCATATCTGCGAGAATGGCGCAATTTGTTGCGGCAATTGGTAGCAACAGCTACGTCACCGTTCGGTCGATGTACGTTGTGTTAGAAATGCAACCAAAGGAATAAATTCTCATTCATGAAGCCAGCACACACATACTGTCACTGTTGAACGTTTCTGCTATTGGTGAGTTTGTAGAATCGCATGACAGATTAGGAATAATTTTCGTTTCAAAGGTGAATTTGTCGTGTACATAGCAACTGAAGCGTGAACTGAAAAGCTAGGAAGCACTGGTCAGTTGTTTCAACCTGGTTGGGTCTCATCGGTAGTGCGAATCCATCGACCCCACTGGGGATCGAACTCGGGACCTCACAGGCAGAACGCAAGCATGCTACCCACTCGACCACCAGGTCGACAATGCTGTTCAGTGCTTCCTAACTTCTCAGTTCCCGCTTCATTTGCTATATACGCGACGAGTTCATCTTTGAGATTGTATCAAACTCTTCATTAATCATTGGAAATTTTAGTTTCCCCACACAGTAAGCGGTAAATGTTTTATAAAGAGTTCAAACAAGCGGAATCTTTTAAATATTAATGCTATGAAAACCGCATAAGGTAAAGTCCGATGCGTCAATCTGTGTCACCCGTGTTCACACATACTCAAATAAATCCGTGGCAGATGGATCGACGAAGACTTACTGTAAGTGCGCTACAGTTTCATTTGTTCTATACAGGATGCTACATTAATCATCAAAACCAAATAATTTAATTGTAGAGGTAGTTAAAAATCAATATCCCTAAGCTGTGCAATGCATCGATTTCAATTTATCCTCTCAATGTTTTTTTGTGTATCTGAACTGTTTTGATTAAGGTATGTTTGTTTTCCGTTTATTCCGAAACAAAAATAATCCCGTTGAAACAGATTGGACTTTGACCGAGTACAATGGAACTGTGGAAGAACAAATCCCCGTGGATCAAATGAAACTGATTCTACCATTAGTTCTGCGCTATTTGTGCCCGGTTTGGGTTTCATTCATTGGGCTTGGAGCTGTCTCGGCTGCCGTGATGTCTTCCTCGGACTCCTCCGTGCTGTCTGCTGCCTCCATGTTTGCCCGAAATGTGGTCAAATCGATTTTCTGGCAATCGGCCACAGAACGACAAATTATCTGGGTCATGCGTGTTAGTATATTTGTGGTCGGTGCCATGTCTTGTGCGTTGGGTATATATATCAAATCGATTTACGGATTGTGGTATCTGTGCTCAGATTTGGTCTATGTGATCCTGTTCCCACAACTTGTCTGTGTGCTGTATGTGCGATTTGCGAACACTTACGGATCTCTTGCCGGCTATATTGTTGGTCTGTTTGTACGGCTAACTGCCGGTGAGGCAGTGCTTGGAATGCCTCCGTTAATCATCTATCCGAACTATTTTGACGATCCGGTGAGCTTTTATCAACGCTTCCCTACCAAAACGTTCGCAATGCTATGCAGCATGGTTGTGACCGTGTTTTTCTCGTTTGTCACTGATCAGTTTTTCCGGGCCAATTCGCGTCGTTTACGATTCGATGTGTTTCACTGTTACAAAGAACGTAAATCGGCTACCGGGTCCGTTCGAATCGGGAATCGATTTAATCGTCCATCGATTCGTACCGTCAAATTACCGGTACAGGTCATCGAAGGAGTGAACGAGGAGGAGGAGGAGGAGGATGAGGCGACCGGACAGGAGAAAGTGAATGATTCCATGACGGATCCGGAACAGATGCAACGGAATGGAAAAAAGGAGACGAGCAAGATTCTTATCACTCGGGCCACATTCCAAACGAATGAAAGCAATACAAGACGTGAGAATGAAACTCCTTTGACCGAAGAACCTGTGTCACAGTGAACTTGTTTGTTATCCTCGAACTTACAGATCAACAATTAGAACCCATACCACTGCTATTGTGTGACAACCTTATTCATCGTGACAGTATCTATATAGTGCGCAATTTGAATATCATTTTTGTTCATCACGAACAACAGCACTAAACTGGAAGTTTTGCTGTTGGACTAACTCAATTTTGCGCCCCACATTTGCCCGAATTACAAAGTCTCCTCTGCGAGAACGAGCCTGCCACATCCTATTCAGTGTATCTATCTATCCTACTAGCTTGTGGTGTTTTTCTGATCACCATAGCACAGTTATCCCTCTATCCCTCTCTCTCCGATTACTCCCTACTTCGNGAAAATCTTGGTTGTGCGCACTCGAACACCAGTGCCCCCTATTCAATCAATGATTGTGAGGAGCGATTGACCTTGTTTTCCAGTTTGGAAAAGCCGAATCGCTCCAATCTGTCGGTTGTGAACGACACCGATTAACTTTTGTTACACACACACACACACACACACACACACTTCTTTTCTATTATAACAAGGTTGGACAACAAAATAATAGTTTATCTGATTTTATTTCTTATCAAATGGCAAACATTTCTTTATTTTTTTTCTTATTCATTTTAGTAATACAATTTCGGATTGTTTTTGTCTTTTTTCCTTCTTTGAGAAACAGTTTCTATCACTATTCCTCCCCCCTAGAAGCCTAGAAGCCTGAATTGTCCAGTTCTTTTCTACATCCATTTCTTTTCTTCCGCCCTTGCGCAACGTTTCTTTTTCCCTGTATCGAGTTGCTTACTTGACTCTCACAAAACCATACAACACACACAAACACACACCATTGTATGGTTACATTTTACCAAGAATAGCAACCAATCTGTTTATGCTATAAACCAAATAAAATGAAGATCACATATGGAGCGACAAGATCGTCTGTATGACAATTTTCATGGCATTATTCCCTGATCCGAACTCTTTCATTATCCATGGTGATATGAATACCTATTTAT